CGTACAGTTTGTGAGAATCTTTGGAAGCTTGGTTACCGAGTTTGTGTTCCTAAAAAAACTATATTCCTCACTTCAATTGTAAAAGAGAGACGAGTTTCTTGGGCAGAAGTTCATAAAAATAAAAATTGGGAAAATATGGTTTTTTTTGATAAAACAACCTTTTAAATGTTCTGTAATACCACCTTAGTTTATTATAAAAGGGGTGAAGAAAAACCAATTTGTGGAGTTGTCAAACACCCATTCAAAGTTCATGTTTAGGGGCTTTTTATTTGCAAGAAATCGTTGGATTTTACATGTTTACTGAAAATATGAATAGGGAGTTATACTGTGAAATTTTAACAAATAATTTTTTTGATCAAGCATATCAGCTTCTTGGAGGGTCCTGGACATTCCGATAGGACAATGATCTAAAATACAAAGCCAAGCTTATGGTATCTCTTCTCAAAAATCGATGTCTTGTGATTCTCAATTGACCGTCATTTTTTCCGGATCTGAATCCAATAGAAAATTTGTAAGCAATTATTAAGAAAAGTGTGAAAAAGAAGGTCAATAAATGAATTAGTGAAAAAAAACCAGTTATGCAAAGGATTTTTATAGAAATTATTAAGGGCGAATGGTTCAATATCGATCAAAACCTCTGTCTTAATTTAGTCAATAGTATGGAAAAGAGGGTAAATTTAGTAATTGAAAGGAATGGCAATGTAATTCAATATTAAAATTTTAATATATGGGAGTGTTTCTAGGAAAATCAGGTTCCGAGAAATTTTTGACTAAAATTAAGAGCTTAATACATTTTAATCTAATAACATCAAAAACTAAAATGCAATAAAAATCTCAATTTTGCTAAAAAATTCCCAGAACCTGATTTTCCTAGCAATCAACCCATATAATAAATATGGTATTAGTTTATTTATATTTTAAGTTTCGAATGATTTTAATAAATATTGATTGAGTAAATAAATTTTCATTTACTACCAGTTTTTTCTGCCACTACTGTAAGAAAATTTTATATAGTTATGAAAGTTAATGAAGGATTAGAAATATCAAATTTTGACATTGTCATCTAATTGAGTATATTTAAATTTCAATATTAGCTTTTCAAGATATACCTATTTTAAAATTAATGCTGAATTTACTATAATAATTTTAGAATCTACTATAATATATATTATTTATTAGGCAAAATATATTTGCAGTTCTGTAATATATCTTTACAGTAATGAAAAATACTTAGAAATCATTTTATTTTAAGCTTTGTTTCATTTAATAAAGAGTTTAAAAATATAATAAAACTAATTGTAAATAAAAATTAAATTTTAAAAAGAAGTATTTTAATGATAATTGATGAGTAAGATATATAATAATTACAATATTAAAGCTAATTTTTCTTAAAAGAATGATCTTACAGATATAAATTGACATAATGGTAATCAAGGATATAGAAGTTATCTAATACTCAAGAATGATTAAATGATCTTATTTTTAATATTAAATTAAATATGAGATATTGCCATCAAGATCAATAAATTAAATAATTTAGTGTAATAAAAAGTACTACAAAAAATAATAAATAAATATTGTATCAAATATAGCTTAAAAATATATTCTGGTATTTTGAATTAGCTAACATAAAATTATCATTTGCAAACTTCTCAAGATATATATTATATTATTACTAAAAAAATTAAATAAACTAATAGAATATACTTTTATAATATTAAAACTATTTGGTAAAGCTATATTTTTAAATGGATAAAAAAATTTAAAGTTTTAACCACTTAGTCTTATCTTCTTAATCTAATAAAATATTATAACAGTTTTATATTTTCAGACCATCTTCAACTAGTAGCTAATATTATTTTTATTATATTGTTCATTAGATGTATCTTATATTAAGATTCTAAATTAGTTTCATTATAAATATAACTTATAAATTTAGTAACTTCAATTCCAAGAACTTTATTATCTGTATAAATTGTAAATATAATAATTATCTGTTAAGTGGCTGTTATAAAGACATTTTTAGTTTTATATTTATAGAATAAATATATAAAGAATTGAAAAGATACTAAAAATTGAATATTATATGTTGCTAAAACTTGTTAATACACTAAAAATATACAATAATTTTTATGAAAATTGAAGCATTATTAATATTTTTCTTATTAATTAAATAATTAAAAAATTTAATTTATCCAGATGATTTTATGAATTTATTAAACTTTCATATTAATTAACATTATATTCAAAATGCATGTAATTTTAGAATACTTATAAATACTATTGTTGAAATAAGGAAATGATACATAAAATATTTAAGGTTTAATTTTTAAAACAAATGAAAGAATCTTAAATTTGATCTTATTTGTTGATATAATATATTTTAATCAATATATTAGAATAATCATCTAGAATAAAAAAAGAAAAGTAATAATAATAGAAAATCTATGAAAATATAGTTTTAGCATTTCAGTATTTAATTATTAAAGACTAAATAGTTTCAGTTTTATCATATGACTAAATATTTTAGTTTTACTTAGTATTATTAAACAGATATAATTCTTTTTAAATATATATTTTAGGATCTATAATGAAAAATTTAAATATATATTTAAAAAGAATATATATTTAATTTAGAATTAAATGAAAATGTGTATTTAGAGAGAAAATAAATAAAAATAAATTTAACTTAATAATTATATTTAATAAAAAATATTATTATTATTAGATTCATCTTAATTAGATTTCTTAACAAATATAAGTATGATCTTCTAAGATTAATAGTTGATGAGATATTTCAAGTAGGAAAAATAATAAATAATTTTACAGATTATTATCAAAAGAAGTCATAATTTTTTAATTGCAACCTGATGATTAAATTAGTTAAAATTATGAAAATGATAGAAATAATTATAACAAAGTTATTTATATTAATATAGTTAAAAAGTTTATTTAGTTTAACTTATTAATGAAGTTAACAATATTTTTATAAATTTTTAAATTATATTTTAATTAGTAAAGAAAGTAAATCAATAATTTTATATAAATAGAATAGAAATTATTTTAAGATAAAAAGATAATCTGTAATTAAATAGTTTAATTTAAAATATAAAAATATTTGTATAGTATAAAGTGTAACTAAAATAATATTTGTTTGTTAAACTTATTAAAATAAACCATTTAACATTAATGCATTTTATAAATTTTACTATAAATTTAATCTTCTACTTATCTTTATTTTTATTAAATATTTATAATAAATAAGCATTTTAAAGAACTAACTATAATAATAATACATTTAGAAGAAAATTAACTGTATATTATATTAATATAATTAGTTACAATTTATACTTTCTATACTTTATAAATTATTTATTTTTATTAATTGTTATCTATAAAAATAATTATTTTAATTATTTTTTTATATATTTTATTAAATAATTACCAAATAAACTTTTTTTTTATAATATAATTTTATTTTATTAGTATTTTTTTTAAATAAAATAAATCTTTATTAAAATAAATTTTAATATATAATTACTAAATATTATTTAAAATATTTTATTAAATATACATAATTTCTTATACATTTTTTTTAACTTATTAATTAATAAAAATCTTAATAATTCTATTATAATTGTAATATATTTTTTTATAATTTATATTTATTATAATTTTCTATTTATTATAATAAATAAACAATTATAAAAATAATTTAAAACGTTTTATCTCAATTACTTTAATTATTAAACATTTTTTAATAATAAATTATTTTATTAATCAAAAAATAATCAATAAATTCTTTATTTTATTTAATAATAAAATAACAATTTTAAAATTTATAATTGCAATAAATTATTTATCACTAATGCAGATATATTATATTAATATTTAAAATTTTGATTCAGATTCTATTAAATAATATATATAACTAACCATTTTCAATCAAATGCTTAAGAAACTTTGATTATAAAACATAAAATTTTTTTACATAATAATATATTCATATTTTATAAACTCTTATATAAATTTGGCATATATTTACTTTAGCTCTGATTTTATTATTAAAGAATCAAAACTGCTTTATAATACAAACTAGGATTCTATCTTTATTTTTTGACCAACTGGTCAATAATATTTGTTTTAAGTTAGGTTAGGTTATCTAATAATCTACATTTTATTAACCCCTTTTAATTTTATTAATTTTTTTTTTGTATCAAAATGCTATTTATTATATTCTCGCAAAAATTTATAAAAATAAATTTGAGTTTTTAAAATTTACCAATCGATTATTAAAACTAATGAAAAAGAAATTTAAATCATTCCAATTATGTTAATTGTACATAAAGAATATTTTAATTGATTCTTAAAACTTTAAAAAAGGTCATAATATTATTTCTTTTTGCTTACTGTTTAATTAATGAAGATTCGTATTGTTAATATGCTCTTTCTTTGTGTTGATACAATGTATGTTTACAAAATAAATAAGTAAAGTAATCAATTCGTCTACGAGAATTTCGTATACAGATTTATATACAAATAATGATTGGAATAATTTATTTAATATTTTGTTTATTTGTGATAATAATTTGATGAAAATCTATACGTACTAAGTGAAATTTATTAGATATTTTTTTTTTATGCCAAATTTCTGAGCAAGACTTACAATACTTATGTTTTTTATTGCGAATTGTTGACTACCATAGAAATCTTCTATCACTATCTATCGATAAAAGAAACACGAAAAAAAAATAACAATCAAGAATCTTTCTACATTGCACAAAACATAGAAATCTATGCTACATTTTATTTTCAACGTTGATACGATAAGAATAAAATTCCCAAGAAACAGTCTATGTTTGAAGGGTAAATATATATATATATATAAATATATATAAAATAAAATAAACGATATGTGAAAAAGTAAAGAAAAGAAAAATATTACTAATAAACTTGTACGAATTAATGTATTATAAAAAAAAGATAACGAGAATGCTGTTTTAGGATCGTTCACCACGAAGACGACGAGCCAATTGGATATCCTTTGGTTGAATAGTAACGCGTTTGGCTATAAATAATAATCAAAGATTATAAGAATTGTGATGTAAATATATTCTGCGCCTTATATAGAGACACATACCATGGATGGCCGCAAGATTTGTATCTTCGAAAAGACTATTAGTAAATTAAAATAATATTAATGTTATAATGTTAAAATAACATAAAAAAGGAACCTGGGAAAGTCAATTACCTCACTAAATATGCTTCAGCAGCCTATTATATTCGAAGTATTGGATGATTAGTAATTGATGCACAGTAATGAAAATAATAAAGTAAAACATACTTCTTGGAGAGCACCAATAGCGCTAGATTGGAAACGTAAGTCAGTTTTAAAGTCTTGTGCAATCTCACGGACAAGGCGTTGAAAAGGCAACTTGCGGATCAAAAGTTCAGTAGATTTTTGATAACGTCGGATTTCACGCAAAGCTACAGTACCAGGTCTGTAGCGATGGGGTTTTTTTACACCTCCTGTAGCTGGGGCTGACTTACGAGCAGCTTTCGTGGCAAGCTGTTTTCTAGGAGCTTTTCCTCCGTA